CGCGTTAAGCACTCCATCACCGCTCCCCCCTCATCAGTCTACAACACATCCCTCACACCAGCAACCTCTCCACATGCTCTCACCCAAGATATTTCTCTTCCTGGGACAGAGCTTACCAAGCTGACCCCAAGGGTCTGCACAGAGGTCCTCCTCCACCACTAACAGGTATCTTTGAATATCAATAAGTCATTCCTAATTAAGAAATATATTCACGTGTTTAATTCATTTCAATTAACCATTGTCTCCATGCTGGTCCCTCCTGTATTTACCAGACTGCTCAGACAAGTCAATAATAGCCAGTCTTTGAGATGCCTGCATTATTCTTATCTGGCACAATGCTTATTAACACTTCGGCATCCATCTGTGTGAGATACAAAATGTGTTTATGTCTCTGAAAATCCTTAAAATTTACTGAACACATTGTGATCAGTTTGCTACACAACTTCCTCCCCAAAAATACACTGCCGTGTTATACGCAAGTTTGGCCGAAGGGTTATCGAAATGACCATAATTTGCACGAGCAAGCAAGTCTATTTCCGGGGAAGTTCAGTTTTCAGTTTCATTTATTAGGTATATAACCCTGTGAGCCATGCGGCTCTTGACTCGGGTGCAACCGCAACAAACAAAAACATGAATAAGAAACATCTTAAAGTGACTGCACGCAACAGAATAATCCTGGAAAAATCAGCAAAGTCTTCCAGAAAAAAGCACCGCATTTCAACGCTGTGTGCAAAAATCCCAGTGGGATGCAAGTCAAACAATAACAACCATAAGACAATTTAGATTAAAGTTATCAGACTAACTCTGTACTACAACAAACAAACATGGCTAAAACAAAAAGTGTTCAAAATCACCAAAATAAAGCTATAAAACAATGTAACAGTGATCATGGGAACTGTGATTCAAATTTAACAATAAACGATATACATCACATATACGACCAAACTTTGCAGCCATAGCTGGCTGCATGAGTCACTCCATAACAGCAACTTGACTTGTTAAGCATGAGATGCGATTTGATTAAAACCGAAGAAGCTACAATCCAGCACAGAATAAACAGTCTTCAGACAGTCCTCTTGCACTGTGAGCCAGGAAACTACAGAATCCATCTCACACCATACCCGATGGTTCCAGGTTCTCTCGTGACCGGTTCCCAGTTAAGCAACACGTTACCTCTGCAGTGAACTTTGCAAAACGTCACCAACTGTAATTCTGAATCTCCTGGCCAGCTGTTCTCATAATCCACGTCTCTCATTTCCCGACCCTCTCTCATCGGATACACCTTTGACACGGATAACGGCTTTGGATTCAGAACAAATCTGCGGCAGGAAACCCCACACTCCGATAACGCTGGCTCTGCTTCCTCTGCAGTGGGCCGTGATACAGCTGTCATGTAATGATTGACATGCGTATCAACTTGGTCCATACATCTGCACGGTCCTCCAGCAAGGAGGGCGCACACATCCCACGTGAACCACCACCACCATCATTGTCGTCGTCGTCGTCTTCATCGGCAACATTGCACACGTGAAGCACAATGTCGTGCGGGCTACATACACACAAACAATATTCCTCGTGTAACATATACAGAGTTTGCATACCTGTCAACCCCTTATCAGTGCCTGCCTTATTACAGACCAATTCAGATCTTATTGGTCACCCCGTGCCCTTATACGTCTCAACGTTCATCCAACAAAGTCCCATCACAAAGGAAACAAACCAATAGGCAAAAGTTGTTTTGCCCCTATTGAAATAGCTGTGCGCCGTATGGACCTGAAACTCAATTTCCCTGTACAAGAATCCAGGCAATCCATATCGTTTGACAGTTATGGGTTTGTCCTGTTCATGGTGTGGGTATAGATAGATAGCGCGCAAAGTAACATCGCTGGCGTTCACACAATGTCATCGTACAACTCCCAATTCAACAGGGAATTTTGAATACACTGGTTGGAGGCAGCAAAATCCGAGTTCTGCAGGCATGGGCGATTATCACCTTTTGCGAGACAATTAACCTCGGCACGTTTTTGGCAGGACTATAGCTCTGCAATTAATGCATTTTAAATAACCTGTACAATATTGCAAAACACATTGGGGTTTCTATCAGACCTGTTCGATTACCCCCCCCCCCCCCCCCCCGCTTTGTGACGTTCAAAGCCATTCACCCACACGCTATTCCCTCCCACGAGGTCCCAAACCAACACAAGCTGATACCACACAGCAAGCGGCATCTCCTCTCCGGTGACCATCGCATCGTCGTTCTGCAACCACCACCACCACCAACTGCTTCTGCCGTAACACCGCCTTTCATTTGCAGACAACCCAAATGCCGCCGGGTTTTTCTTTTTCTCTCTCTCCTGTCTTCAATGTTGCCAACGTTGTGAGCTGGTTGCCATCGCCTCCTGCTGAACAACGCGCAGCCAAGGCGACCTGTTGGCACCGCAGGAGCAGCAACGTCTCTCGCCGACGGAACGGAAACATCAGCAGCGGCCGCCGCCGCCGCTTGTAAACCTCTCGGGCGAACCTCGAGTGACCTTTTGACGCAGTCGCTCCTCCGTTCACCAGACGCAGACTCCTCCTCGCTAGCTGTTGTTCCGTCAAAGCAGGTTGCAAGCGGCGCAGCCTCAAGTTGTGTGGCTTGATCGGCGGTGGAATATCTCCGCAGGGTCTCGCCACCTCCGAGATTTGCATTGAATCTGTGCCTTTGTTACAATAAGCGTATTTACACCCTTACAAGGTAAATGAAACCCATTACGGTCAGTTCCCGACACCAGCAGCCAGCCTGACCATTCTCTCCCCATCCCAGCATTCAACGTGGGTCACGGGAGTTTCTCACGCTGAACTGCGTGGCAGTGCTAGGATCGATTTATCAAAATAACATTATTACAATGACGCATTTAATATTCAAACGCACGCAATTTCCATGTTTAGATGTATTAAGAGAACTACAGTTTATGGTATTAAAAAATAAAAAAAGCACGTTACCGTCTTAGTTCATGAAAACCACGTGTGCTTTTGTTGTTGTCTACTGTGTGTGAGCATTTAGTAAATGCTCGTCAACAGTACTTACCCCAACAGTTTGTAAGGCTAAATGTGAAATCATTGTGTCTTGCATGTGCTCCAGTGCACAAAGCCCTGCACGAGGGCCGTGGTGATGTCACCATCACCTTGCGGTGAATGGCTGCCGTTGTGTGATGTGTGTAGACATACGTATGTGTGTGCGCCTAATTAGGTGCTTATTTCCAAGCACTTTGTGAAGCTCACAATGCCTCTGAACCGGTTATTCATCTCTTCATCAACGGAGTGCAGCGTTGTATTGAATCGTATACTTATTGCAAACATGTTCCATGTTTGTTATGAAAATATATTTCATTCCCGACCTACTCACACCCATATATCACCTGCGTATGACAGTAGCATTACACATGTTGAATCATGGACTGCAAGAAAACTAGATTTCATTTCAAGGTATGGTTTACAATACTCTTCATTCACCATGGGAAGATGACATCACCTTACCCATTAATACCATAGAGGGGACAGTGAACTATACAAAGGAGGTTGGGATAATGTAGGGGAGACTGATGGGAGGTGGTGTGTGTGTTGAATAAAAGTATTCTCTCATTGTTATACTGCTATGTGGGATATAAAAAACTAATTTGAGGGACATCATGAAAATGTATGGGAAATGTACAGATTTCGGTGTGGTTTTATGCGTAAAGATGAACGAGCAGAATATATTTTCACCCACGTCGTGTTATGTAAATTATTAAAATTACAATTGTTTGCTCTGATCTTTGCTGTACGAATAAAGATAAATGTGCTGGTGTGTGTGGCATTAGATGTGCTGTGCTCCATTTAGAAATATACATTAGTTCTACCACACAGGTTGTCAGTTGACATTTTACAACTGTTCATGACAGGAAAATTAAATCTTGCAAGTTGCACTACAGTATCTCTTTAATATCACACATGTACCGCATATGATACATCATATTTTACTCATATTTCTGTGTGTGACAGAATAAAACACATTTTGGCTAAAGATAGCCATTAATGTGAATGCACGAGAAGTGAAAAGGTAAACATGATTTGTTCAACCATGCAGCAGCTTTTGATCATGGAATGAAAACAAATATGGCAGACACGTTTCTGTTTATTGTTTTCAAATGTTTTCCATTCTTTTCTCTTATTATCACTTGTCAGTCTGTTTTTTTTTGCCAAGCCTCCATGCGGGTAGAACAAGGCAAAGACACACACACACAAAGCCCCTGGTCGCTGCATTTTCTTTTTTCATCGATAAACGGTCAGGCTGTCAGCCACAGGTGCTTTTCACCTCCATGTTTTCCCTGCCATGCAAGACGTGCGTTACGGCACGCAAGCAATGACATTTCGTACAAAGACAATAAAATAAAGGGAGGTTTTTTTTGTGTCATGGCTTAATGTCTCCAGGTCCGTGGGCCACGGCACGGTGGAAACAGCCAGCATACAGGTACCGTGAGTTCAGTGGCAGGGCACAAGATGGGCCCCCCATAGAGGCAAGGGGAAATGCATTTTCTGCATCCTTGACTTCACCCTCCCCACCCACACACTCGCGTGGTCCCGATATGCTCCCCGCACATCAGCTCCTGCCACCCCTCACATTAAATGGCGTTAAATGACCCTTTATGTATCAACTCCCTTACCTTAGTGCTCACTTAAATCTGTTTGCTCTTGCTGATCTAATGTGGGCCACAACATTGAAGCCTGCAGGCGACGGAAATTGTAAGCGTACCCTTAATGCACAGTTGTTGTTGCGAGCAGTGCCATCGGGGAATGTGCCGATGTGGGCTGCACATGTACGCATTGTTCTACGTACAGAAATATATGTTAGAACACGTGCATCACGTTGCGCAACTGAAGGCACTTGAAAATGTGTGCGACGTGGCAAGTTAATGTGTTTCATTGACACGCATGTTGTTGATGTCAAGTGTTTTCAAACATTTGAATACGATCATCACAGCAGCTCTCTGATCCTTTAATAATTCAATCGAGTCGTTTGTTGATAATTATTCAGAATAGAGATTGTCTTTACAAAACTGCAATGTTTATATGTTAATCATACGTGAAAACACAAACATTTTAAAGGGTGCTGTAAATTAAATTGTTTAATTACCATTTACACCACCTACAAAAAGCCACATGTATTATTTGCATAATTGATAAGGATCACATTTCTATTAAGTTTAACAGCAAGTTAGCTGTAACATTTTATCTTTTATTCCATTAAAAGTAATGCAAAATCGAGCATTACATAAAAAACATGTTAACACAGGCTGTTAAATTTACAACATTTAATGAAAATGGAAATCCTCTTTAATATAATATTAGCAGCTCTGAGTTACAAATCTTATTAAAGCATATGAATATTATTAACTGGACCAAATTCAAACAAAAAATAATTGAACACAATGGATTCCCATTATATTCAATTATCAGCGTAATATATTCAACGAAAAAAAAGGAAATTGCATGATTAGTTTTGCACGGAAAAAATATATAGCATGAGGCAATTAATATACTTTTATGATTATAAAGGGATAGAACAAAAAATACATTTGTAATGCTTACAAGTGTAACACACCACCCATACAAACTGTTGTAAAAAGTAGGCTAAATACACATAGCCTATTTTTTTGTCAGAGGAAAATAAGCATATTGTATAAATTACATAGATTACAGATGCTATTCCAGTCATGTGCATCATGTAAAACGTTTATAAATAACATCTGCGACTCATGTAGGTGTGCCATGCTCCATTGTAGACAACTACAGTAAGTTCACATCTCACTTCACCCAGCCCATTACGACAATTCTGAGTTGTGCATATCCACCACACTGGCCGAGTACAATTCAGAAAATGCACGATGCCTGCTTACTTATGCATTATCAGTGCACTTTGGGTTGTCCTGTGCAGGACTCTGGGCAGAGAGAACTGGATCCGAAGCCGTCGCCACATCCCTCCAGGAGCTCCCGGATGAGTAGATTGGGCGCCGAGTGATTGGAAGGCGCTTGGTCTTCTCTCCTGACTCCCAGGCAGAGAATGGACGAGCCGTTGGAGGTTGTTTGAGCGGCTGGAGGTGGGAGTCTCTGTTCACCCGGGAATGCGTCCCCTTCCACGGCAGCCTCTCCTTTGCCTTCACCGTTCCATGACAAACAGACGTCTTTGAGAATTCTGAAAATGATGTGTGTTGTATCACGGTAACGTTAACAACCGTGGCGTATTCTTGCCAGAAGTGGGAGTATCTACCCTTTACTCCAACACACGCGAGCTGCCGATTAACTAACTGCAGGGAATCCATTTATACAGGTTAACCTACTGGACAAAAGCTGTATAGCTCATTGAATTTTTCCAGTATAAGCAAATATGTGATTCTGACACTGCTCGGTGAACAGAGGCAGAGGAACTTAAGAAACTTGCCCGATTGTTTCAGCCGCCACATGGGCAGATAAAATCTGCATCTTCTGGATTGCAAACCCAATTGTGCTGTTACACCAGGGTGGTAGTAATACCGTGTGTTGAGAATATTGTCAGAACTTTGAATAGCCAACAAAACCCTTTGAAAGCCAACATAATGAATAAAGTAAAATAATGAATCAAAGGTAATTAAAGAACTGCATCATGGGAAGGCCAATTAGAGCAATGGACATTGTTATGTTAATCGCGCTACCTCCTGGGTGAAGTCATACTGACTACAGATTGTTAGCATTTGACTAGGCTAGAACCAAGTTATTCTTCGGCAAGCATAAAAGCTTTCACAGTTCATGCAAAAAAAAGTAAAACATTTGCAAGCTTACTTATTCAAATAAGTTACATAAACAAAAATAGGAATTGTGTTTGTCCAGTATTCACTTGCGTGACATGTTTATAGAGGAACCGGTTTTATTCACATCTTGTTAAGTAAGAAGTGGTTAATTAAGTACAACAAATGTGGGCTCCGCATTGCCAATTAATGACGTAACTGGGTTTCCCATGATTACAATCTTCAGACTCATTTGATACTTTTCAATCATGTTTTAGTTTGTTGTCCTTTCCCTGTACCTCCGATTAACACGGTTGGCTACGTACGGTGCGAAAGAAGTTGAACATACATATATGGTATCCATACAATGATTTTACTTCTTGAAAGTTTGTTTGCTACCCAATGTCTACGAATGGAAAACTCGGAATACTGTGTTGTCATTCAAGACTGTCCGTTTGTCAACGTCATTAACATGTCCGTTTTCCATCTGCACCTAGTGTAAAGTGTCTCCTCTCACTCTAAGTTAGTCTTTATTTTCCATAACCCTGCCTCCGAGTTGACATAATTCGCCATGCCCTATCAGGCAACAGCGCCTGGAATGAAATGCAAAGCCAGATCCTAAGTTTTTGCAACATAATCACAATTTCGTGTGTATGCAAATTGAATTAAGCATGTAGATGAAAAAGGTGACTAGACAGTCATAAATCACTTCATAATATGACACTGTGATTGGAGAGAATTAGATGTACTCAATGAAAACGAGACTATATAAAAAATAAATACGAAAAGAGTAACTGCAGTTTAATACCGATTAATTTGTAAAGACAGTGACAGCTTACCGACCCAAATGAAACGCAACTGCATTGTCTCTGTAGGTAAGCGTTCTTACCAAGGGTGGCTGCATGTCTGAAGCCTTTTTTGAAAGTCCACGGCGGACACCTGCAGTTGCACTCTTGGATCTGGCGGTTGGTGGTGTCTCGTTGCCCTTGAGGGTCCTTGTGGTTGCAAGCAGCTGCTGAGGTAATCTTTCGCCGGCCAACCCTGCATATGTCCTACCTCCAACTTTCTCTCCGGTTGACGGTTGGCCCGTCAATGCAGTTTCGTTGTCAGTGATCACGGCGTTTGAATGGTTCACGTGCTTACGCGAATCCTGCGACAGCACTGAGGTGTCTGCTTGAATTTGAAATGTTTTAGTCGAATTAATTTTCTCTTCTGTTTCAGTTTTATCTGTACAATCCAAATTAATGCCAGTTTTAAGAGAATTAATTGAACTGTCTTTAGATGTCTCGTCATTCTCTATGAAAAAGCCAAAATCTGAAGAGTAATTTCTTAATGTCCTCTTTTCAGGCTCTTTGAGCATCTGTCAAAGAAGAAAAAATGTGAAGAGAACACTTAAGTTTAGCAATAATTATTTTAGAATGAACATATATCTGCATATAAACGTTCTAGTCATTTTACATCTTCAACATACAACTCATGTGTGAGTTCATGATATGTTGGGACATATGGAAGCCATTTGGAGTTGGAAAAAAAAACATTTAAGGAAATGCCCACAATTCACTAAATTGCTTCAAATGGAGCAAAAGTATACATATTTTTTTAAAGTTACATGACGTCAACTGTACAAGGGCTGCCCAAGATCATGCAATCTTCTGCAATATAAACCAACAACAAAGAGCACCACGACGCATGCCATCACTTGCTTTGGATGTGGGAGAAAAAACATTGTTCCAGGTGAGGAAGGTAAGGTGTTTGCCAGCAGTGTCACTTTACCATCACAAACAAATACTTACCAGGCTGTGAGTGAGAGGCAAACCCTCTCGTTGCTTCACCTGCGTTTGTTTTGGTTCATATTCAACCACCTTGGAATTAAGCCACTCTAGGGGAAACATTACACATAATTGCATGGCATTAACATTATGTTTATCCTATCACGAGTATATGTGCTGTATATCATTTAATATCATTATTATAATGATGCCCGGATGAACCAAGAGTAATATGTATTCTTTGACAGTGCTTTCCATTGACATTGCATCTGTTCTGTTGCTGAAATGTCACATTGGTCTTGGGAATCCATCCTACTTCAAACATATATTATCGGAATCGGCAGACTCTCTCATAACATAAAACAATAAGAACTCTCTTTGTAGATAACACTGCGATGTCTAAAGCACAGCAGACGCAAATTTCAAAAAGAATTGCTTCATGCTGCATCTACCATACATAGCACGATCAAAAACAAATAATGGTACTAACCACAACAAAGATAAACCCTGCCTTTTACATTACATTGTAGACCGAGTTCTGTGTGGCAGATCCTGGAAATCTGAGATGCAGCAATGGTCTCAGCTTGAGAGATATTCTTATCATCGTGATCAGTGGTGAAGATGGTATGCTGAAGCGCATTTTCCAGCAAAAGCACCTTCGCTCCCTCCCGAGCACTGCACCCACAAACCAGGCCCCTTACCTGTCCATGCCAAGCACACCTGTGTCATAAAACAGGAACGTAATATATAAAGATAAAGACCCCCCGTATAGCATTAACAGACTGTAGGGGCAAGTGCTGTTAGCGAGCACCTAAGAAGGCCGGAACAGTACACGAGGGGGTGGGTGGCCAGCACCACCCCTGACCACCTTTGTATCCCCAGTGGCAATGTTTACACACCGCACCAGGTACTCATTTAAGGCTGAGTCGACCTAGGGGATGCCCAGGACCGGTTCAGATAATCGTCACTAGTGTTGGCCGTGAGCGGGAATCGAACCCGGGTCACGGCCAGGTTCATAGCGCAGCACGCTAACCGCTACACCACCGCTCCCCACACACACACACACACATGCGTCACTCGATGCAACCAGCAGTCGCGAGGCGTTTGAGAGAAACGTCTCACCAGAAGGACCCTCCGCCGTCAGTGCCACTGCGTGCCAGGAGCCACAGCTCACCGCTCTCACGGGCCTCCCCGCCAGGTCGACTTGACGTGCCACCCACTCTCGCCGCTCCGCTGGGCTCCCAGCGCCCATCACGTGGCTGCTCCTTCCCCACATGTACAGCTCGCCTTTGGCTAGAAACCAAGTTGTTTTAGTGTCACGTTGGTCTCGTGGTTAGGTGCGTAGCACACTTTTATAGCCCGATTCTAAATTCTGCTGCTGCTGCTGCGAGAATTTGCTGTTGGAGGCACTTTAGCACTTTTTGAATTTCAAGTGTGGTTCAGAGGGCCTATTGAACGATTATCAAATCATCAGTGATTATGAGAGTGGACATATATCATGCATATGATGTTAGCGATGTCATGCATGGCCAATTGTTACGGACATTTATATATATTACTTTTTTCGTGGATTGATTCATTATTTTTCAACCCAGGTTGATGAAATTGAGCATTCATTGAATAACATGGTAATACAATGTAACACATTATATAAAGAATTAATTTAAATGGTTAATTGATGATAAAGGGTGTCCATGAAGTTATAACATTTAAAATGATTATAATTAGCCATTTGAGCCAGGTCTATAAAACTATACTGACACTCACACACACACTGGGTAGTGTGAAGATATTATCGTTAACATTGTATCCCTATGAACTTCCACATATCTGCCATGCTGTTGGCAATGCACATCGTATCAAAACATTACAGTTCCACATGTTGTGCAACCTCTTGGATGTGATTGTTTCAAATTCTTCAAGCATGTACTGGTGAAGATCTCTAAGTTTTTCAGTAAAAAAAACGGGTTTTGCAGTCAAAAAACACAAAGTTACATGCATAAGAAACATGTTGCAAAGATTGCCACCACACAGTTCAAACTGACATTTCTAATCCTATAATAAGGGATGATACCTTTATGGACATAGTGGATATTCCAGAACACACCAGAGAATAAGCTGACCCAACATGAAGTGTGTAATGAATGGTGACTATATGGGATACTGAAATTTACATTGGAAGGGTTTTAACGGCTTTAGACGTGAGTGATAAGAATGCATATATGCACACAATGTATATTTATTGTATAGTAAACTATGCATTCCTGCACTTTTTATATTGCTAAAAAGATATGAAATAAAAATCAGACTCTTATGTCAGCATAGTATTCGGCTGCTGCATTTTTGTTGCATATATTCCTAAAACTTTTTTTGCCAGCTCTATAATTATATGTAAGCAGTTTACAATCATAAAAAACAAGGTTATCACTATACATTTTATGTACCACTATTCATGAGCCCTGGCATGAGTTTTATGGCTTTAAAATAATTAAAGTAAAGTGCAAATACGTAAGAATCGTATGCAGCCCAACACTATTCTTCGCAATTAATCCCTTGCATCCCAAGATCCAAAAAGCCAAGATAAATTAAAAGCATTAGGTAGATTATTGGAATAACTATATACTCTATGGGAATAGTTGCAAAGAGAGGAGCAAAATAAGGTGTGTTTCTATTGCCACTCTGTTGTAGCTAAAGTTCTTAAGTGGGTGGCATAAGGGAACCATTGAAACGCCATCAAATTGGCACTTAAAGGCTTGTTGTGTGAACTCGGTGCCTTTGCATTGCAATTATGTGTGGCTCCCTGTGCAAAGCTATGTGACATGCATACAAGCAGTGTGGAGCAATGCCAATTATCATCATTTGAAAGGGGCTTAAAATCCCCATAGAGTCCTATAGGATTGCAATGGGAATGAAACAGCCCTGCCCTCACATAAAACATGTGTTAAGGGTGCAAACCACCACTGTGGTGCGTACTGAGTCACCCAAGCTTGACCAAATAAGCCTCATCAATGCTCTTGTTTTTCAGCGATTGTTGCGTATTGATACAACAGGGCAAGCTGGCCTGAAGATCATTGCACAGCTTGCGGGTGATGGGAAAAAATGGCTAATTTCTTCACGGTAAGGCTGCATTGGTGGAACTCACACTGCATATGGAACTGCCGGGCAGTGATTCCTACAGGAGTTGTGTTTCTTTAAATCTCGTGAATGTGGCAATTAAGTTATAACTGAACATAAATGGGTGAACCAAAGTACTTGCTGACTGCAAATACGTCATGGATGACTCCTGCCTCCCTCCCCTCTACTGCCTCCCCATTTTCCTTGTGCGCCCCTCCTTCTGCAACGCTTGGAAACCACCCCGAGTTTTTTGACTAACAAGTATTTTGGTCTCGTGGTCACTGTTGAAAATACTCTGCCCTAAGATTGTAATCAAATCCCAACAGTTGTGCATACGTGTAAATGTATTATTTATTTTAATACGTTTTTTTTACATTGACTATGACTATGTAATGTATGTGATGTACTTCCATTCATAAGAAACCTTAAAGAATATTATCATGCAAACGACGTGCCTTATCTTTACAGTACAATTGCCCACGTTATGCCATTCAGGGTATCGGCTACATTCATAAGATGCGACCCACGCCTGATTCGCACACGTTGCAGGAAACCGTGTAAGGTTATTGACGGATATTTGTATAGTGCATACAAGTCCATACAAGTAGAAAACATAACTAACTACATTACACCTGTCCCTTCTTCACCCCTGCACAAACACTGCGGGATTAAGGGCATACGCCACGTTGTGTGAGACTCTGTGAGGCTGCCCACAGTGCTGACACACAGCTGTGATGGAGTTATGCATCGAGTGTTCCATTTTATGTAGAAGTGACACACGGCTGGAACCCAGCACTCCCTCTGCCCCTGCCACGCAGAGAAGTGTGGAGTGGCACGAGTTGGGGCTGGGGGAGGCCGAGGGGTTGGAGGGAGATCATCACCAGTTACAGCAGCGCTGTAGGCATCCCCAGCTGTGATTTGCACGGTCCGGCCATCCAGGGGAGGGCACGCCAGGCGCCGCGGCACAACTGAGAACGGCACCCGCTGGCCATGGCCCAGCTGTCCCTAGAGCCGCAAGAGATGGACGGGGACATGAAGAACTGGGGACGTGGCGTGTCAATGTGGCTGGATATTCAACACCGAGTATCCAACATTATCTTCTTGGTTCTTTCGGTAAAGTCACGTAGAATGGAAATAATAAAATATTAAAAATAAAACATAATAAAATAATTCTCACGACGTTTCGGCCACAACGCAAGCAGCCGTCCTCGTGAGAATAATTTTATTATGTTTTATTTTATATTATTTTATTATTTCCATTCTACGTGACTTTACCGAAAGAATCAAGAAGATGAATCCCTGCAGTCACGAAAGCTTTAAATCGAAATTTATCCAACATTTATTAGTTAAGTGAGCAGCTACATTATGAGACAGAACAGGCAAAGGGGCAGCCTTGCAATTGCTTGCTCACGCCACTGCTGGCGGGAAGGGCCTCCACTCGAGAAAGCCCTAGAGAGCCCCTCTATAGGGTATTTGGCCTACTCTTCCACGCTTGAACGCCCCTCGACAAACAGAGGACACCGGAACTCTCGATAATACATTCAAGGACCATTTTTTGTTGTTGTTATGAGTAATAATCAATTGCCATGAACAAAGCAAATGTGCATAACACTCATGAGAAGAAATAAATACATCAAAACATGAAATGTACTCAATGTAACTTTCAATGGTCTGAACTAGAAGTGTTATAGCACGCCGATTCACTTCACTAATGTTTGAATATTGCACCACAATATAGCAGCCTTCATGCATTAAATTGAATACGTGATAATATACATATTAAAAGCATAGAATACTGTGCTTGTATAGCCAAATCGTGCTTACCTCTTGACCTGAGCCCCAGGAGTATACATTTCCATTGTCTGCAAAACAGACATATCTGGATTAAGCTTTTTCTTGCCAATACAAAAGCTTGATATTGTAACTATTGTTAAGCAATGCAAAGCTAACTACAATATATGTTAATTTACAAATGTAACAGTGTTTACTTGAAGCTTTTACAGATGTGCAAAGTGAAAAAGGATCACATTCTCAAAATCGTTTCTCTGGCTCTCTTATATCTATCGAGTATATATGTTTCCATGCACTCTACTATATCCTAATACATTGTAATCTTGCAATTTATCATTTGCATTTATATAGATGCTGAATAGTGTCTGTAATACATATGTGTCTGTGTATGGTAAACTTGAACGTTTTGGTGAACAGATATTGTTCCAATACTGTTTTCAGCGACTGGATTTGCTCGTAATTAATATTTTTTCATTGTGAATATTGCATGTCCGTGGCTGCTCTAGAAACTATTAGCCTCGTTAAATTTATTTATCTATTTACTTATTTTCGGAGAACATATTCATTTATTTGCATATATACAGTTTTTTGTGAAAATAATCAAAAAGGGGTGTTATATATTCAGTATAATATTAATAATTATGTGATGCTGTTCACTGCCTGTCTATTTTAATAGGTGACTCACCCCATACGCACTCACACAACATGAATATGTATGGTCACAAAGGTCACCCTCCAGTCATTAATAATCCTGTCATCTTGCTGTATGAAAAAAGAGCTCACGCCTTTAAAAAAAAAAGGGTCACGGTGGAATTTACAGAAGACCGCGTGTATGGACAAGTGTCCAGAGCGTGGCACACACCCATTGGCAAATGAAAAGGGTGCTTGCCTTCCACTGGCCCCGTGCCATGTGCAGGCAGCGTATTGTCCTGGCACATTGGGGTGTTCAACTCCACATGGCAAAGCCAAAGCCCTCGCCGTAGGCTTTGGTTACAGGCCTGCAAACATTTATCATCTTTCTGGGCCACCGTGACAGCGATGCAGGAGGGGTCAGCCGATCCCGGCACAGCTGTACGAGGCATGGCTAATGGTGGAGAGAGACGCGCCGTCCGTAACTAGATGCTAATGCATAATCCTATAAATTACCCGCACCTCTTTAGCAAAGTGCTCGCCTGTCTCCTCGTGCGTGTGATTTGCACAATACGCCGAACGACTGACTGAAAAAATGAAACATTGTGATGCTAAATATTGCTATCATCTATATCAAACACTCATCACTGAAACGGGCGCACTTTATGGCGTTGCATTAGCTTTAGGTGAAAATTAAAATGCGTGAATAATTTACCTGAAACTGCATAAACAATAGCATCGTAAAATATTGGGTGTGTGAGTAACCTTCACAAAGACAACAAAAATGTTTGCATCCTACAAGCTTGTTTTAAGAGCATATATGCATTTTAACTTCCAACCCATTTGATCAAACCATTTTAAATTTGAACTATTCTTATGCAGCGTATAGCAAAATCTTTCGTAAGATTCCGTATAAATACAGCAGACATGCAAGGAAGATTAGGGTTAAAGGTGAAAAGCTTCAATATATTGCAGGAAGGGAGTGGACAGAAATAACTAGGGCCAGAATTGGAGTCGTGCAAACGCGATTCAGCAGGCTACAGGGAGGAAGCGTCCCTGGTTATTAAGATGTCAAAAGCCACGAGGAATAAAATTGAAATGTCAAGCGGAGGGTGCTGCAATATTTAGGGGCTTTTTGGCAGAAGGTGAAAAATCTTTCACAAAACCCAAATACGTTCTTGTCTGTGGCGCTGGACGTATTTGCTGTTTACAGTGCATCTCAACAGAATAATATATATAAAAACAAAGACAAAGAGCCTCCATATAGCCTTTAACAGACTTTTGGGGCAAGTAATGTTAGTGAGCACCTATTATGGAGGTCGGCATGGCACACGAGGAGATGGCTGGCTAACACCACGTCTGGCCGCCTTTGTCTCTTCAGTGCTGATGTTTACACACTGCATCAGGTGCTCATTTAAGGCTGAGTCAACCTAGGGGAGACCCAGGACCAGTTCAGATATTCGTCATTGATGTTGGTCGTGAGCAGGAATCAAACTCCTGTGAGAGGATTCGTAGTGCTGGTGTTGCACGAACCACTACAATGGTCCCCACATATAAAAATATAAAACAAAGATCCCCCATATAGCCTTTGCAGACTGTTGGGGGAAGTGCTGTTAGCTCGCCAGGCCATACCGGCCTTCATAGGTGGTGATTCACAAAGATTAATTGAGTGTAAACATCCATTTAACCAGCTTGCTGTGTTTCTTATATAGTTTAAAACCTCCCTCTATTCAGCAATCAGCGACGGCATTAAAAAAAAGATCTCCACTTTTGGCGCAAAGAAGCTCACACAGCTCTATCTGCAAATACATCTGTAAATATTTACTAGCAAACAAACCAACACCACATGACGCGAGAGCACCAGAACATGTCACTCGAGTCCGTTTAGCTCTGCTAAAGCTGCAGGAACTTAATCGGAGCCAGCCAGTCAGTCGGGTGATGTAAAGGTCAATTTCATGGCTGATTTCAGCGTACATAAATATACACAGGTCATTTCAAGTTTACCGAGTTCATCAAAGTAGTCTGTCCTTTTTCGATCGTGTTTTGGAAGCCTCCCGGTGTCTCCAATGATCTCACATTTACGTCGGGCAGTCAAGAGATGTTTAGAAATAATATCTTTTAGAATACGTTTTCTCATGAGCATTGCATTGACAATTTTGTAAGATGATACAGAGTACTCAATTATCCATTGATAAATGCAGCATATAAACGTAAATGAATCAACAAAACAAAGTTGTGTTATACACATTTTGCTTAACAAGGGGCATTTATATTATTAGCCAAAACCACTATTTCAACAAACTACTATCCCTTTTATCACGTGGTGTGTCAATCAAGAATTACTGAGAGGAGCAAAAGCACACAGCTTGCATTTGCGAGCTCATCCATACATTGCCATGTTCTGCTCTCGTCGCTAGAGATAATCCAGTCTTTTGGGTCCACTTAATGTGTGACAGAACAGCTCAACCACTGGCCAGTGCTTTTTAGGCCCTTGGTGCTAACGTTTTTATCAGCCTATGGAATGTGTCCCACAAGTCATTGAGCTCTTTAATATACTGTTGGAACTACAGCATGAACATGGCAACAACAAAAAACGTGCACTCATGCATATTCGTGTTATAGCAAACCGATGAACACTTGATTAAGAACGAACGTACAACTTGTTTTCTGCTTTGGGGCGCAGTGGCGACATCGTGATTCGTGCACTAAACTGAGTTCTATGTTCCACTGTGACTCAATACAGTGGTGTGTGCTATTTAAACCGGTACTGGGCCCCCACCTTCACTAACCCATGGACCAGCAGTGGTTAAATATGGTCAAACAACCCAATGACTGACACAGCATGGGGAGGGTGGCCTTTGAGCAACAGTGGATACACATAGGATTGTAAATAGTCAGTTATTAATTCTCATTATAAAACAAACATAGTAAAGTAATTAAACACATTAATAGTTATGAGCGAAAGGTTTGTAGTGAGGCCCCTTCCCAATTAGCCTTTTTGAAAAGGCCCAATGGTGTATTTCGCACAGCTACCCATCGCAAAGTTAATGATGTCATATCGTTCCAAAGAAATGGCCATCATGCAAAGGCAATTAAAACTAAATTCCAAACTCCAACAAACGCTGCACTAAACAACGTGACATAAGTAATGTGTATTTCCTTTACATATATCTAGGACTCTTTGTGCAAATGCAGTAAATATAACGGGAATGCATATCACCTGAATAAAGAAACGAATTAATTGGAAGTTTCTAACTTTTTGAAAATAACAAATATACATTTTACTACCAGCAGATACTAATGAGTTTATAGCAATATAATACTCTTAAATATTGATGTAGAACGTGTTACTATAAATTAATCAATGCAGCGATTAAGAACAAAGATAATCACATGCTGGAGTTTTCAACTCTAAAACTCTAAAATAGATTTGAAGTGGTATAATAAATGGAGACATTAGGTCACACGAGCAATATTTTACAACAACAACAAAATCCATGTTTTCAAGAAGATGAGTGATATTGATGAGCTCCGGTGTAATCATCACACTCCGGACACTCGACCACACCGTGATGGAGAGAGGGAGAAACTGACCTGTCATGGCCAGACTGTGGGCGCCCCCTCCTGCCACAGCCATCACTTTGCCACAGCGCTCCATCATCATGGTCTCGGGGTTTAGCAGGTCCTGAGTCAAGCAGCCGCATGCGCGTCCATACCCCCAAGCGTACAGCCTTCCACTCGCTGTTTGCACAACAGACGATTAAAAAGGTTATATACTTGAAATAATATTGTAAACAGTGCTGTGAGATACCAAAATGTCCAGAAGCAATGCCTAACTCGTCCATGATTAAAGGGATGAGATAGGCGCCAAAGTGGAGAGATGTTAACTACCTTGCTTTGGTGTATAGGATGTCGTGGGTTCGATCTCGACCCTAATGCCTGCTGGATATTTGGAGTTTGCATGACTTTATCCCCGTGGTCGCGTGGATTTTTCTCTGGGTCCTTCACATTTCTCCGAGTCCTCCACGGTTTTTCCCTCCACATTTACAAACGTGCATTCGGAGTGTTTGGCTGCTATAAAATGTCCACGTGAAAAGACACATTTTTGGGCTATGATTTTTTTTTGGCCTGGTCGCTTCTGAAAAAAATGAGCTGGAAAGCTCATCAGGCCTACATGGTAAAATACAAATAGTTTTAGTAGTAGTTTATTATTTCAAGATAAAGGTGCAGCCCTGCAATTTCTTACTCGCACCACTGTGGGCAGAAGGGCCACCACTGGAGGGAGTTCTAGACAGCCCCTCTAAAACGTATGTTGGCCTTCTCTTCCACATAGGCCAGGTATCTTGGAAGAGATATTCAACTTAAAATTGGTTTTATTTTACTTATATAACACTATTTCACAGACATCTTATCCAGCTCAACATATATTCTCTATGCTAACACTGAAAAAAATGTCATTTGAATAATTCATGTGATAATGTTCACACGGATAAGTCACAATGGTCTTATTTAAGTGATATAACAATGCAATGATTGGATCTATCTCTTTGAATATGGAGAACTACATTTCTCAAAGTTTATCAATTGTGGAAATTATAAGCCTGAAGATAAGCCGGGAGGCAGACGGCTTTAAGTGTTTTAACATAGTGTATATCCTCTGTGTTCTGACATACTTGGTGCCTTGATGATGTTACAAATCTTGACGCCTGAAAACAATGAAAGGTAAACAAAAAAAAGCGCTTGGTAGTTTACTTGTATGCTCAAGCGAGCTTATAGCTTGAACTCAGTGAGGCTGAAGACAATTCAAAAGAGTATCTCGATATGAGGAAAATCTCCCAAAGCAGAAGAAATGTGCAACACCCGTCCAAATTAATTGTATTCCTCAATAGTACTGTTAGCACCGAATCAATGCTGTAGGTTTCTGAGAAAAGGAAAGAAAACACTTCTCAGCTGGGTAAGGGCCATCCACCAAATGACCTACTTTTTTACCAGTTATATTACATGATAGGGTGGGTGAAATACTGATAGTTTAAAAAACTCGTCAGTGTGTTGATCAATCTTGTGTTGAGTTTCAACTCGTATACAACAGCCTCATAATTGGTGAATTTCCAGAAATTGATGGTATGAGTCTCAGCCGAATATATGATGTTGAGGCTTTGTCGGCTCGTAAGGTTGGAGTCCAAAAGGAGGTTGATATCCTGTGTGAATGTGTGACCTCACGGCAAGTGACCTTGCAGGTCAACAAATGCCTTGAAGTGGAGCACTCGTGGTGACTGCCGGAAACATGTAATCATGGCTGTTTAAGTCCCCTATGACTGAGAATGGTGACAAACCAGAGGGTAATTCAGATGTATCGTGGAATTTACTTGAAATATCTACCACTTACACTATGAGATCTCTTTTACCAGTGGCAAAATATAATAGTAGGTTTTTACCCTTTTAACTGGTACAAAACTGACACCTTTATTCAAGGCATCATGTTTGCAATGACCACAACACAAGTAGTCAAAAAAGCAAACAAAAAGAAGCAACTCTGATAAGGATGATAATAAGGACAGTGCATATTATCATCCTTATCAGAGTTGCTTCTTTTTGTTTGCTTTTTTGACTACTTGTGTTGTGGTCATTGCAAACATGATGCCTTGAATAAAGGTGTCAGTTTTGTACCAGTTAAAAGGGTAAAAACCTACTACTATATCTACCACTGTTTTTATATATTTATATTATATATATAGAAATCATGCATGTGAAACATCAATCTGGATTCCAGTGTGTGTAAATGTAAGGATAAATGTGTAGATTGGAAGTGGATATTCTGACATTACGTTTTCAATTACCCGCTTTGACATTTAACACTACAGTAAATTCACTGTCATCGTCATCTATAACAATTGTCGATCCACTGCTGGATGAAGGGCTCCCCCACCATAATTGCCATTCATCACGTTCTTGTAATTACACTATCCATCTCACTCATGAGTGCACATGAACTAATCTCAAAGTTCCATCTCCTCGGTGATTGTCCTCTCTGGCATGTTCCTTAATTGTGGCTGCTATTCCATTATTAGCCTTGTCCTTCACCCTTGCACGCAATGTGCATTGTCCAAGCCCACCGCTAACTTGAAAGTCAAAGCGATGTCTCCAATAGGTGCGCTGTTATGTGATACTTGCGCTATGTCTTCTCGGCGTAAAGCTCAGCATGCACATCTTCCACGCTCCTCTGTGTACTTTAACGCTTTACTCAACTTTCTTTGTCAGTTTCCGATCCATATTTCATATCAGGAAAATGTTGAATCGTTGAAAATGTTCTTCTTTTGGCACACTGATAAGTTTTCACTTTCAATTTCAGTTTGCTAAATGATCCCAACCTGCTTTTGCTTGCCTTTTTACGTAATCATTTTTAACCAAATCCATCTTCAATGAGTGCGATAGGTATAAGTATGCCATTGGGTTTTTCATTCCATTTGCATCGCTCCCCCAATGTTTTTCTCGTGTGTAACTTGCTCTCTGTGACCTTTTTCACTCATATTCATCTTGAGCCCATTTTTATAGTCGTATTTGTCAATTAATTATAGAATCTCCGGCCCTTAATTTATATTGGTTGTTATAATGAATATAGCACCATTTCTGTTAATGCCTTAATTTTTGCAATACAATTTTAAAATAAATATCCTAATATTGTGAATGCAATTGGCGATATACACACATGGTTGCCTGACTTCTCTTATGAGTTGTATTTTCAAATATTCTTGCTGTGGATTTCACACCTGATGATGATTGCTTGTGTTGCAGTCGAAACGTCGTGAGAATTTGTATTGTTTTATATTAATATTATTTTATTATTTTCCTTCTACGTGACTTTACCGAAAGAACCAAGAATAAGAATATGAGTTGTATTTAGTTACTTTCTGCATGCAGTCTTAGAGTAGCTGTTCCACCTTTATACATGGTTTTGATCATTTAGATATTTTGTCTAAGGCCTTTTATTGCGAGAGCGTGGGTGATTTAGTCAAATGCCGACAAAAGTCAGAAACTGATGCCGATAATCTTATTGATGGAATAGAATGTTGATATAAAATATGAGTAATAATAATGTTTAGCCTTTTGTCAATATACTATTGACGTCCCCACGCTGTATTGGTTATGGGGGTCATTTGCTCACATTGCATCGCGTTGGTTATTGCGGGTCGGTGAGGGGGGAGCGGAATTGGCTTTTGACGTGGTTCACAATTGACGTTTGCTGTGGCTCGGAATGTAACTCATGTCGCCAGGTTCATAGTGCAGTGCACTTTCCGCTGTGCAGCAGCACCACCGACTGTGCATACCTCCTCATGCAACAGAAATGTCGGCTTGTTCACTGAACACAGGAAACTTTCACGTCTAAAGTCTATAAAAAAAAAATTGCTCTACATCTGTGTAGTGGCACTGGCTCAAACGTGCAGGGGTGTGGGCGGGGGGTATGGAAAACTAGCTTCCCTTTGTTCACGGTGTGCAATAGTGACACGTTCCAAGGGAAGAAACAAACATTTTAAAGGGTAAGGCTACACCTTACGGTCCTACAGTCACTCAATTTCAAACCGAAGCCAACATTGCCCCCTACTGATGCATTTTTTTGCTATTTCACTGCAACGGAAAATACCATGTTATCGAATGCAAAAGCGCTCGAGATTCACCGATATTGTCATTAAATGCTTTGTCATTTTTCTTGTTTACATGAAATAAAGACAACATAAATGTATTTATTTAGATTTTTCAGGCCGTCGTTAATCTACTGCTGGATGGAATGAGGGCCTCACCACGCTATGCCAGTCACAACAGTTGTTTGAACCATACCTCACCAAGCTAGTCAGCACAAGGGTCTGAGAACATGTTCAGATATCACTGATAGTAACGATGGCCATGACTCGAACATAGGGTGCCAGGTTCGTAGGGTAGCACGGGCCCACTGCACTTCCACTCGACCAAAAATATTATATCACAACTTTCAGAAAGCTCCTGTACCTACTGGGTTCTCTAGAACTCAAAATTTTGCAGCCGTATCCATCATACAAGAATGACGTAATAACTACAAATCACACTTTTTTTTCTACATCAATTCATGATCTATTTCAGGTCATAGCGCAATCACAACAACTGTTTCAATGCAAACGATTGTTTCACGTAATATTATGTAATCGTAGAGACATTCTGCTTTATAATGTTACCTATGTAAAACCTGGTATAAAAGGCATGTGAAAAAATTTCATATACAAAAAAAATCACTACCCATTGAAGTTTTCTTCAAAACAGTCGTTAGTCGGATTATATAACGCTTGCTTAGTGGCTCTGTCTTGTTTGTGTGAGTGCGTGTTCTAAACAACATGATACATCATGGCAGCCCTAAGTATGCCATTATTTTTTCCAGACTAAATAAAAAAAGCTTCAACCAAGGCTCTTACCAGATGCCACGGTTGCCGACCAACCACCTCTGACTCATTTTAGCCCCCCACAACTTCCACCTCGCTCCCCCATCCTGACAGCAACAAGGATCCCCCTATAGCCTCAACAGGCTGTAGGGGCAAGTGCTGTTAGCGAGCACCTATGAAGGACGGCACGGCACACAAAGGGGTGGGTAGCCAGTACCACGCCTGGCCACCTTTCTCTCCCTAATGTCTATGTTTACACACCGCACTAGGCACTCATTTGAGGCTGACTCGACCCAGGGGAGGCCCAGAGCCAGTTCGTATAATTGTCACTGGTGTTGGCCGTGATTTGAAATCGAACTCGGGTCGCTGGATTCTTAGCGCAGCCAGTTAACCGCTGCACCACCAGCTCCCCATCCTGACAGCACACACTCATACAAACACACACCCATCCAGCACCACAGTTAAGACTCTCCACATCCTACCCACCCAGCTAAAAATATCAGTCTCCTTCACAGTCCAATGGCTGCCGGAACAAATGTCCAAGAGACACCTGAGAGCCATTGGTGTGGCGGCAGAGAATCAGGTCCGCTACATTGTCCTTGTTACCTCCGTGTAATGGACCTGTCAGAAATCATCCCGAGCCGTCAGCAGGCCCAGCCTCTGGTAATTACACGCAGCCCCACCGCGCACATTTCCCCGCCACAATGTACAACAGAGAGAAGCTGTCATAATAGAATAGCGCTATCACAGCTCACTCAGCCATCACATAATACGTCATTTAGCCAGGCAGAGGCTAACGTACACCATAATTTTCTGCTTTCACCTATTAGGAAATCACGGCCAGGTGGTCAGGCACAGGGCAAGAGATTGCTTTTGATAAGGTTATTACACCAGTGTCCAGAAATATTAATGATAATAATAAAAATTGAATTCGAAGAACTCTAGACATCCCAAATTAAATACAATATTGTACACGAAGGCTGCCCACTTTTTTTTTCAGGAGTGATATGTTTCAAATAATGTATTTATATGGTGACTTAAGTCTATCAATATTGAATAATTTAATGAAGGGTGAAGTTAATTTTTTTTATTAACACCATCCAAGGCTAAAAATGTCTTGCACGTGACCAGGTTATGGTGTTCTATTGAGCCGTTTAAGAAAAATCTGACAATATTATTGTTGCGGATTACTCGTGCTTGCAAGGAAAAACAGAAAAATGCGGTACAGGAGTGCTGGCTTCATTATGATTTGCTCCTCACTCGTTGAGAGTCAGTGACTCACTCCCCACGTGGCCAGAAATAAAGTTGGAAAATAAACTGATTACTTTAAGAAACAATAAAGGCAGATGACACCCTCTCTCGGGCTTCACCCCCATTCTAGATAGGTCGTTGTATCGCCAGACCGTATGATGGGAACGGCTTGTGGAGGCCTCTATTCCGCAGCGGATAAATCATGGCTCACAATGAGCAACAGCTACACGTGTTCCCATTAAACACGTGACATTCTTCGTGGTTCGAAACTTCTGTGAGTAATAACTAACAATAATAATACGCCCGTCAGAAGACTTGCACATAATAGATTGTATGTGCCCTACAAATATTTAAAAGGCATATAGCATAGAGCAGTATGGGCATTTCATTGCATTGCAGCATGTGGCCAGCAGCACTTGGTGCTGGTCTCTGGCTCATGAAGATGTTAGAGGAGCAGTACTCACTGCCATGTATAGATTTGCCATATTTTTTAGATTAAGCCTGTGCCATTGATTACGAGGGCGGTTAGATGGAGGGCATTGAGGCCTCCTTTAAACACGGGGTTCTGACATGTTATTATGATTCATGGAGTCTATTTCATGACCAAATAATGTTTATCAAGGGGTGTTTGCACCTGCTAGAACGCTTGCTGTTTATCCCACTATTGGAATTCCATTTACTGGAGTTAGTGGCCATCGTTAACCCAGTTATAAGTATAGTAAAAATTATGATTCCAATTATTTACCCAGAAAAGTCTCACTGAGTCTCAAAACTATTTTTCAGGTTGGTCCTGCAATTGGATGTTTGACCAATAGCACAAAAGAGTGTTTGACACTTGATAATACAGGCAATTAACTGAACTGTACTCAGAGAAAACCCGCGCACATGATGGGATAACAACTGAGGTTCCGCACTGATGGTTTCAATCCACAAACACATCAATTCAATAAATATGCAGATTGAGTCTATTTCCGTACTTAAATCTCATGGTGACTTCACAACCTGCAGCCGCATGCAGCCCCACATTTGATATTCTCTGGTTTGACCCTCTTTAGTTTCTGAGCTCCAACTAGGTTGGGCACAAATTACCACATTTATGGTGACTTGGCATAGCTGAAGGCTATGAATTTGTCTTGGACAATCATGTTGAGTTGCAACAAACCAATGTTATCTTATATCATGTGTAAAGACAAACAGGGATGAACTCAACTAAGTCAAGCTGTGGGGGATAATGTTGGTTTTGGCTTGTGTGATCAGGTTATTTCCACAATTTCTATGAGAAATCCAGACAGGGATTTGAAATCACAACTCTTTCAATTGCAAATAAATGCACTTTGCCACAGCTCTACCCAGCCAAAAGTTTTACGGAACTATCAAATTATTGTAATAAAATATCACGCATTTATTTTCAGAAAGAACATGTACCATAAATCTTGACTTAAAGCTTTCGTGACTGCAGGAATTCATATTATTTGGGTATTTAGGTAAAGTCACGTAGATAGGTTCAAAGAAAATAACAAAATAACAACGACGTTTCGATCGCAACGCAAGCAGTCGTCGTCAGGAGGAGAAAAAAAATGACCGCCGCTTGTGTTGCGATCGAAACGTCGTAGTTTTTTTGTTATTTTTTTGTTATTTTCTTTAAACCTATCTACGTGACTTTGCCGAAAGACCCAAAGAATAACATGTACCTTGTCTTGAGATACAGTTGTGCCCCATACTTACGTGCGACTGCCAGGCTGTGGTTGGTTCCACAAGCCACCCGGATGACCTCCTCCAGATCCTCAATAACACGTGCCACCACCGCCTCGTCTCTGCCTCCCACTCCCAGCTGTCCAAAAGTGTTGCCACTTTGAAGACAAATTGTTCAGAAAATGTACGTTGTTTTCTTCTTCTTCCCTATACAGTATATACATATAACACGGCCAACATCAAATACACGTAGCTAAGGTTATTTTTGGTATAAGGCTTTCATTTTTGTTTGAAGCTATCTATATATTTTAAAAAACATGTTTTCACTGTCATCATCGTCATCAAGGACATAGAATCCAGAATTAATTGTCATAAATGCTACATGTAAGATTTCCGATGAATAACACAAGTAAGCGTCTGTCGTTTTAATGAAATTCTCTTTGCGAATATTTCAGATGTAAGCAGAGGAGGATTCAAACGGTTCAACATAAAAGCTCTTATTGCACCTCCAAGGAATGAATTGATCAGAAAAAAAGAATCCTCCGTCATATCAAACGTGAAAATCAAAACAGCGTATGCTAACAAAAAAAATGTAAAATGTTATTGACACTCCCAGCATGTCACATAAAAGGAGATATAGTGTCAATAGGACACACTTTACGCTAAGGCTGACACTTTCATGTCACGGTACACTTCAATGTACCAAATGCAAATGCGTGGCTTTCACAAAGCCAATAGAGGCAGCAATATCGCCAATACCAAAAAGCCTGTTCCATTAATGCAGCCCACGGGCTTATAAGCTGAATGTGATATAAAGAGGTGTGAGCCAAAGTAATTTGAAATATAACTTTTAAAATATCTTTATTATGCACAGATATGAACAATGTTATTCACACTTTAACTCTATAAATGGTTTCATGTTTCATAATTATATCTACAATTTAAGGAACTAATATTATTACAATTTATCATACTGCATTTGTCCAAATGTAAAACACAAAAACACAATATAGGTGACATAAATACTTTCCTCGACTGTATTTCACTATTTACTTACATTGTTTACGTCAATTCACACCTATTGACTAGACCAACAGTAATCGTCCGAGACCAGAGGCCTTATTTGAAAGGCATCATAAATTGTAAAAATCAAGGAGATCAAGTGTGCAGCTCTGCCTTAACCTTGCAAGGTTGTAAAAGCCACCACCCATGCAAATAAATTAGCCTTAAACCTCCTGCAGAATTTTCACAAACATTAGTCAGAGCGTCACATTTGTCTATGATATATAGCACAATAAACAAAAAACTACCAAACTTCTGGAATACGTATTATTTATTGTACATGACATACGTGTGAAGAAGTGGCTCTTTGTCAGATCAGCAGATATAACCGAAAAGCACTAGCCTTGAATAAGAACAAAGCAAAGTCTGATGTCATTCTTAGCAATGCGCTTTTATGACCTTTATAAATACATCCATGTTCAGCTCGTAATTACTGCAAGGGGCAGGAAGCTCAAGCTTGCTTATAATGATAGCTATGAAGGTAAATAAACCAAATAAAACGTTGACAGCATAACTATTCAAATATATTTAAAGGCTGGTTTCTTTGTTCACTAAAATGTTGCATACATGTGCACATTGATAACGCAACCCTAAAAGTAAAATATATATATACAATAAGCCATGTCACATTCATGCTCTCCTTATTGCCCCTCGATAATGGTTGTGTTGAGTTTTTGTTATTTGTGCGTTTTGTGCACCAACGCAGTATCACAAACGCATTTCGTAGATTTAAAGTTCATTTCAGAACGTTGAAATTAGCGAGTAAGAAAGGGGGAACAATTTGGTTAAGGTTGGCTCGATGAGAGACTTAGAGGCTCGGGTCTCACAACCCAGTACAAAATACTAACATTGCACTGTGGTACCGTTGTGAAACAACAGTTATTTTGCACAGACGTTTTTTTTTGGAACATTCTCAATCCTTTTCTGTGGCTCGGACGTAAAAGGCCCCATTCTCCCCAGACCTGCAATAGCAATATTAGCTGCCAAACACTGTTATGTACAAGTGCTGGTGTGGTATAAAATTGCACCTGAAAATTCTATTCTTCGCATATTGGGGTGTCCCCCCAAATAGATGCCATTAACTACCACCAAATTGGTACAGCCGTCATCTGTCTGTAAACCACCGCACGAACAACGGTAGGCAGAATTATTTAGAAATTGTGGAAACATACCACATTAAGGTTAAAGTAGTGGAGCAGTAGGACAGTGGTTAGCGACCTGAGATTGGTTCCCAGCCACAACAAGCACAAGTGGCAGGTGAAATCAGTACCGGTCCTGACCTCAATCCCCTTCATCAACCGGCACTGACCAGTGTGGTCAAAAAACCCTCACGACCGACAGGGCGTGGAAAGGCCTTCATCCAATGGTTTATTGAGAATGGCTGGAATGTAATTTATTCGCATTTTAGTCAAACTAATGTGTCATAACAATTCAATTTTTGTTTATGCTGAGAACCGTCATAAATAGAATCTCATCAATCATTGCATACATCTACAAAGCCGGAAATGTGAGTGATTTAGTTTGATGATGAAGAGAATATATGGCATAAAAACAAATAGGCTCTGGTTCCTTTGATAAAATACATCGGTAGACATTACAAGAATGGGTTCTCCACTGACGTGACACACGTTGAACAATGCATTTCATTCACATCTGTTCAAGATCGTTTTATTCGTAGCGTTATTTCATTAATTTATTCCGCGTAATGTACCTGTCTTGAGTCTCCTCTGGGTTGGGTACTCACCAAGGGGTTCACTTTAACACATTGGGTTTCCCCCCCCCACACTCCCACATGCCGAGCGTGACAGAGCAACTATTTGCACTAAAGCTGCTTTGGCAATCTCTCCCAGACTGTGGCTCTGTTCCAGCCCTTAATAACAGCGCATCAATTTCCAACTAAAATCATCACATGACAAAGCAGCGTCGCTGCACTATTTGTAAACATTTTTTTTTCCAAGTGTGAGCCAAATAAACATACGATCCGCATTCTGCATTCCAACAAACGAGCCCTGTGGCAGCCTGAATAAATGAGACATATTTGAATAATTTACGATATCCCTCTGAAAACATGTCAAATATGTTTTACGAAATCTATTTCCGGTTCATCTTAATTAAGTGTCACACTGGGGCTTGTAAAATTGTTATAAAATAGCTTCTTTTACAAAATAGCTTTTGCTTCTTTTTTTTACAATTGGGAAATCTCCAAGCAGTATCCTGGCAAACTGAAAAGGCAGCGAGCAGAAAGCACATTGAAATACCTCGGGAATATTCTAACCAAAAAAAAAACACGATTGCCTCAATAGATACTGATCGACAGATGCAACAAGCTTTGGACATGTAATATTCTTAAACTATGATCCATCTCTTGACATACGAAAGAAATACGTTCCTGAAAAGTTGTCCAAAAAGTGAAAACTCCATATATCGAACCCTATTTTCTCATTGACTTCAATTATATTATAGGAGATGCATTCCTATGGGAAAAAAACTAGGCCCCAAGACGAAATAAAATCGCACTTAAGAATGCAGCTAATATTTTGTTAAACACATATTTAATGGGCAATCGATAATTTTATAAAATGTGAATAATACTCCTCAAAATAAGTAACGAAAAAAAAAATACTTTAGAGTACCTACCAGAAACATTGACGATAGTCGCGTGAGGTGGTGGCGGCGTGAACAACAGAAAGGGCAGAAACCAAAACGAGCCAACCTTCAAGGGCACCGCAAAGAATGCGGGGAAACCATTACAGTGTGAAAAGTGTGCCACGCAAAACTATTTACAAACTCTAGATTTGAAGCTTTCGTGACTGCAAGGATTCATATTCTTAGGTTTTTTTCGGTAAAGTCACGTAGGTAAAAAATGAAAATTAATGAAGGTAAAATAAAAATAAAATAACAATCACGACGTTTCGGAGGCAACACAAGCTTCCGTCTTCAGGTGGAACCGTCACAGCACGACAGCTGCATCAAGTACTTGACTGAAGCTTGTGTTGCCTCCGAAACGTCATGATTTTTATTTTATTTTACTTTTATTAATTTAAATTTAAATTTTTTACCTACGTGACTTTACCGAAAAAACCTAAGAATATTTACAAACTACTGAAAAAAAATGTATTTTCCTTTTTTTAATAACCTGGAGAAGCATGAAATGCATGCAAGGATAAACCACAGACCAGGCGGTGTTCGAGTTTTTCAAAAAAAATTCGTCCCAAATTTTTCTTTGATAGTTGAGAGATTTAAAATTCTTAGAAATGCGAATTTAACGTAACCTATATGGAATTCGTTCCCTCATTTTACCTTACGTTATGGCGAAAGTCCGAATATTTAGTTGGCCATATAACGAGGAATGACAGTACCTGCTAAAAAAAGATCTTAAACAGAACGAATATTTATGCTATTCAGGTATAACTATGTCATAATGTATAAAATAATTATAAATTGACAACCCTTTGTTAATCCATTGCTAGATGAAGGCTTCATCAGGTTGTTTGACCATACTTCACCACACTGGTCAGTGCAGCTTACTGAAGGCGGTGATGCAGAACCATTTAAGATATCACTGCCACTGATGTTTGCTGTGGCTAGGCATTAAAAACTAAGTTTCCAGGCTCGTAGCGTAGTGCACTAAATAGTGTGCCACTGATCTTCATGGGTAATGCATGAATGTACCTCGTTATTGATTTACTCACACGTTTATTTAATTACCATTTGTAAACTTTCCGTATGGGAATATATTTTTTTCATCCGTTTGCAGTAAGATTTCACAAACGCACTGTACATAAATTGTGTTTGTATGTGACTGTGCATAGGGTTTTTTTGCCAAAATAAATATTTCATCTGCAGAAGTGTTTGCCCAATTTAAACCCTTCTGTGGTAATCTTTAATCAAGTGTTTCTCTCACCAACTACCGACGCAACACTTGAATCCACTTTTGCTCAGCAAACGTGTATATGTGTTTCCAGTTTGACACCAACAGTTCCCTAAAAAAAGCCCTACACTCCCAACAAAAATGCATTACCGCTCATTATAATAGCCTGAGCATAGCGATGTATCATGTTCAGTTTTTGGGGAAAATCATTGATACCGTTTTAGGGAATAAAATTATAGCATTCAATTCGCTTCGCCCCAAGGCATTCCAAATAAAAACCTGTGGTAATACTTTTATTTCGTGCAGTAAAGAGAACAGAATATGTGGCCTAAATTCTCTTTTTAATCATTATTATTCTTATTGGGCCCTGTTCTCCTCCCGGCCACAAGGTGCAATGCTTTGGAGTGAAAAGTTGGGATCACTGCCACAGATACCTACTGTTACCTTAAAATATTAGGGATGGTACCTTGAATAATTGTTAAGAGCAATTGTTTCAATGTTCCTGGCCATTGACCGCATAGCCTTAACAGACTGTTGGGGAAAATGCTGTTAACGAGCATCTATGAAACCGACATGTCACACGAGTGGGTGAATGCCCAGCAACACGCCCGGGTTGCCTTTGTCTCCCCAGTGGCGACGTTTACGCACTGCACAAGGTACTCATTTGAGGCTGAGTCGACCTAGGGAAGGCACAGGATCAGTTCAAATATTCGCCACTGTTATTTGATCGTGAGCAGGAATCTAGCTCGGCCCGCTGGGTTCGACATGCAGCGCGCTAACCGCTACACGACACACGTATATATGGACACACATGCTTTTACTCAAATGCAATATTTACTGGAGGGGAATTAATTACATTCTTCAGTAAAAAACAATGTATATGCTGCATATGTGCAACAGGATCACATGTTGACAAAGACCATACGTAGATATCAACCGCATATATTATCAGAGTATGTTTTTGTTTGCATTCTGACCACTATCTACCGCATATATTATCAGAGTATGTTTTTGTTTGCATTCTGACCACAAGCATTGTGGTTCATGCAGACATCATTCCTTATAAAATGTTTCTGTTTGGTGTTTTAACATCTTAACACCTGTTTTTTTTATTACCATAAAAAAGGGGAAAACCCTATTATCATATTTTCGTACTGGCAAAGGAGGTCCTATGATGTAGATATCTACCATCAGCCACATCATATATTTCAATCAGGGTAGCAGTTAGATGCGTTGACTGTGCTGTCGACATGTCAATAGCTAAACACTTTAAAACTGAGATATTTTACGTTTGTCAAGTGGGAAGCAGATTGTTTCACACTGCATTGCTGCACTGATTAATTCATGCTGTGTCAGTTCTGTTGCTAAACAGCCACTATCTCCAGAGAGCATGGTGTTGTCACGCATATGTTGGCCTCACGCAAGCAGCTTGAAAAGTTCTATAATGCCTCACTTTGTCAGTCATAATCGGCGCTTCAATGCATGCTGCCACTCTTATGAACCGTCTACTTCTGGCACCTATGATGGCATATCCAGGTATCACGCCACCAGGAAAGAAATGGGAATATGGACAGGTATGCAATTAGGCCAACAACAGAAATATGCAATAAGTAAGACATAACCACATGTATCCAGACCGCAGCAAATTAAAAAGGTGAATGCATTTAAACAGCACAAGTGTAGCACATTGTATTTGTAACAGTGTGGGAAGGTTGTGAGTTCAGATCCTGGTATGGGGGTTGACTCAGCCTATCTGACCTCCGGGTTGCTAAAATGACTACCACTCTGTGTGAAAGTTTAACAGTGGTTGTCATAGGAACGTGGGATTTACACTACTGGCTGAGGGCTGTAAATTGGAGATGAGCAATACATATACTTATTTATTATTACAATTATCTGAATCTTTATTTAGATTGGAGGAATTCGAAGAGCTATGAAGCTATTTTTCACAGATGTCCAGCAGATACGAGGAACACAGTATTTTGTTTAATATGTGAAAAAAAAGACAGAAATGTCTATTAATATTTAATAATTAGATTCAAAGGAAAATAATACATTTCACAGTCAGTGCTCGATAAAGTTTCTGGATCAAATGGAAGTTGCCAACACAACTAGGCAAGAACATTCCCAAGCCCCCTCACCGACATTCGACTGCCTCAGCATGGGATAATTGACATAACACCACACTCAGGGTACACATTTGGATAAGTGACTTAAACTAAATCACTTTAATTCATTAGATTGTTTACAATGAGTTTCTTATTTTCAATTACGTTTCGAATCCCGTAGTCGGGCGCTTTTGTGCCGCTTGTCACAAGACGACGGCAAAACAATTCCTCAATTTTTTTTGTAGAAGTTTTTTTCTTTTCTTTTCTTTCGGTGTGTGTGTGTGTGTGTCTGGCGAAAGTTCCCCCCGCCGCCACGGCGTAATGTATCATTTTGCGAGTCGCTCACCCACACGCGGCGACCCTGCGATCTTCAAAGAGGAAGAGGGAGTGGCGCTCACCGCATGAGACCCACTCCACCCTGCGGCCCATCAGGCTCATGTTGAGCGGATATGGCACACACTGTGGTGCAGCAGGAGGTTGGCATGAGGGATAACAAAATGAGCCACAACAAAAAGAAAGGATTTCTTCAAAAAATGCGATGCATCAAAAGGGACCATGCACGCACACGCCATCGGGGGACACTTTTACAAATATCGACCAAAGGTATCCGAAGAGTACAAAGGCAATCTATTACGGAAAAATCCGGTGGTTATACATTTCGTTGTAACTGAAAAACGTTCAAGCGTATAATCAATTATTAAGAAGGGAAGAAAAAAAATGAAACTTTACGATTTCTTCATATGCCCCGTTATACGAAGCAATCTACAAAACTGCTCTGTGATTTATTCTATAGGAAACCCGTGTAAACAGGTTATGGATTTTGAGTCATGGTGTGTCACGTGCATATACGCCGCCTCGTAGGCTTACAAAGAACATGCCAGTCAAGCGGGAGGGGGGAGGTGTACAAATGTGTCACCGACGTCCGCGCACGTGAAGAGAGATTAATGGACTGCCAGTTACAAACAGAAACTCTGACCATCAGCCCCGGTCTGCAGCTCGCAGTGAAATATCACCGCTCGTTTCACCACTGACGTGATATTCAGGTGATTTATAACCGGCAACAAAGAATAATGGGCTTAACTCAACCTCCAAAATTTATTCATAAAACCTACAATTCCAATACAAACCTCGGCATGGTTATGACAATATGTTTCGCTAAGAAACCGGTGACTTTTAAAATGCATCTTACGTATTGTCTTACGCTTTCTGCAAGAGTTGTACTTCTCAGAAAGGTAAAGCAAATGATTTTTTTCCCTCTAATAAACTACGATGTTTAAAGTCATATTCATATTTTTTATTTGAAATAAAACATAACAGGAACGCGGGAGATGTGTTTTTTTTCAAAACCACCTCAATAGTGTGTTGGCTTTACAGCGCTGCTAAAACCTGGGTACTGAAGCTCGATTCTTGACCATGGCGAACATCAGCAGTGAGAGATTGCTGATTTATTCCTCTCCACCTCCACACTTTGCCAACCCGCACTTACCAACTCAACATGGGGGAGCCCTTAATCAAACAGTGGATTGGCAAAGGGCAATACATTATGACTTTATTTTTACTGTTATCAATCAATTAATGAATGCCCTTGATCATGATGAGGAGTTTCTCATACGTGTAATTCTAAACTGTTTAGAATTTTAAAAAAGAAATGAGGATAAATGCAGATGCGGCAAGCAAGGGGGAGCAGAGCGTGCACCTGATTGGCCTTGTAATCCCTCTTCTGAAAATCATAGCCCAGCTGCGCGTAGAAGTTGTTTCCGAAGCTGAAACAGCGGCCCGACCGCGTCCACACTAAGGAGTGGCGACTCCCGCACGCGACCCCGGCCACCTCCACGTCTCCGCGGCAGCCCGAGGTCACCAGCTGCACCTCCACAGGCTCACCGCGTATGCTGCTATCACCGCAGCCCAGCCTGCGGTGAATCGAGCCCACACGCGCACGAAAAATGAACCGCAAAACCTGGCTGAACTCTGGCAGTGGCTTTTGGCGAGCCGTCAAACAAAGGCAGTTTAACTGCACCGTGCGCTTTCAGATGCGCTTCTGCGGCCGTCTGGAACGCACTACTTCCTTCCGATATTAGGAAGCCACTGGAGCTATGCACTTTTAAATATCGGTTGAAATCGAATTTATTCACAACTGCTTTTTAGTGTTGAGTTCGTTGTCCTTACCTCGCGCGACTCCAATTAGCACGCTTGGCTACGCTGCGAAGTAAGTTCAACTTACGTACACACAGCACTCACACATATACCATGGGCTTATCTAAATGAAAAGTTGCAGAAGTCTATATATTAATGTGTCCGTTAACCAGCTGACAATATTAACATGCTTCACTTATTTTCAATGTTAAGGTTAACATTAGCTACTACAGAAATATTTTTAAATGCGAACAATTTTATTTTGAGCAACATGTCAAAATGATATGAACAGAACATTTATTTAAAAAATCTGTAATTTCAATATTATCTTGGTCAATTCACTGCTGGATGAAGGCATCTCTAAGCCACACATGAGCTCGTTTCAATTATCCATCTCGTCGTTGTACATACGCTCGTTCAGTCAATTATTTTGACAGTAATTTTGTACGTGAAAATACATAATCGAGTATTTTTTTAGGAAATTACATTTTATTTGTTAATCTGTGTTGGCATGTTACTTTGTTTTGTATGTGCAGAACACCTACTGTCCACTGTGACCATGCCCCCAGCTGAAAATCCTGTTTGTTTCTGGAAGAAAGGAGACATTTTTGTTTGTTTACAATGAGAGTTGATCGTCATCTTTGACACCGTTAATTTAATGTCATATTCATCACGATAAATATTTCATTGGGGCAAAACACCATAAACTCTGCAATTTATGTTTGGCAACAGCACAGACTGTTATAAAATAAGCTTTTATAAAGTTAAGGCTAGTGGTTCATGTTTTAACAATTTAGTGCGTACGTGTCTTTTTTACACAGGCCTGCATGCATCCAATAAAATAAACATGAGTTCAAGAACAAACAATGTACACAACTGAAAGTTTTTGAGGAAGTTGAGATATATTAGTTTGACTCCACTGGCGCAGATGAAAATGTTAAGATTCTCAGACTATTCATAATTTCTGCACAGCTGTTCCGCACATGTTACTGCTAACCCTACTGTATAAGGAGAAACAGAGCAGACACATTACTGACCAATATCTACTCTGACTTAAAACATACCTTGAACCTCAAGCAACGGTTACAACCCAGCCGTTAATAGATGATTTCAATATAAGCAGCAGATGGTAAAATAATAAAATACTATATATTAAATAGTATGGTTAACTTATGGTTTCACTCAAAATCTCAACTCCTTTGCAGGTCACACTTTCATCAGATGGGTGCAATGTGAGTGTATTGGTGAATGCAAGGAATCATTTTAAATACGTTGAGCTTAAATCCATGGTAATGTAATTGATTTCCTCGCAGTTCAAGGAAAACATGTTTCACAATATCCAGCAACAGCTAAATCACTGTTCTGCTTCTCTCACTGACCTTGAGGCCTTCTTCTAAAGATTTTATTTTACAACGACCGCATTTCAATGTGTTGTCATCTAATTGAAATAAAGGCACCAAATGAAAATAACACACACACACTTATTCAATGTGATTTACAAACGAATTCTAAAACATCATGAAGGAAAATCGCCTGAATCCACTTTTCCAACTTCGTTGCTTGCACTCAATAAAGTGTAACCACTGCAGTTCTTTTGCAGAATTATGTAAAGCAGTTTACGCATGAGAACATCTACAATGATACTGCTAGGATGCTATCCGCACCATCAGGAAATACATCTTGGGAGTCCCCCCAGTGGGGAAAAAACACAACGAAGAGCACGTGGATATATTCCAGCCTACATAACTGTTATCAGTAACCGACCCAGTGGCTCACCTGTTATTATGGGTCAGACTATCGATTTAATAAGACAAAATGCCTTTGTTCTTATCAGTGATTTAACATAAATTGGCGTTGGGTATTCTATTAGGATTCAGCTGTGCATCACTTAAATGACCAATATAGTACCATAATCTCCGCATCATATGTGAACAAATGTGGTAACAATTCTTTCCCGTGTGCATTCTCCACCCCCCCGAGTCTCGTGTCTTTCTCAGACACGAGAAGGCTGCAGCCAAGTAGGCTTGTTGTGACCTTTTAAAAATGCAAATGAGCTTTGGAAATACACGTGCTCTATGATGGAATGTATCCTATAAGGCAACTCTTTGCACAGCACAGTTGCAGGTAAGCATTTATATTCACGTATCTTGCTTGTGCTTGATACCATTATTTTTTACGGGGAATTTTGTTTTGTAAAAAAATGTTACGTTCATTTTTCTTTACGTGTATTACTTACTTCATTCAAATGAATATGTTATACAATACTAATGGATTATATAACGATCAAAAACGCTCTATAGCCTGCAGGTATTATTGTATGAGCTTGTAATGTCATTGTGCAAAGGTGACAAACACTGTAAGAATTATAGTTACAGTGTGGTGCAGGTACATTTTTTTGAAGATTACAAACATGTGCATTGTGTAAAACATTTTCACAAAATCTGGGTGGGAAAAACTTCATTTGGCCAATATATTTGTGCAGTATTGTTATAACTATCGTAGAAAAAGTTATGTATTTGTATCCATCAATCATTCATAGTTTCTGAACAGAAATCGTACACCGTATAATTAAGAACTACAGCATAATAGTTTTATTTTTGTAAACAGAGAGGTAGCTTATGATTAAACAATATTTCTTGATTTTTTTAGTTTAGCCAAATAAAAATTCCTATTCCTATTAACAGCAACTATGAAATATTAGCTACAAAATGGCATTTTTTCCTGCTCATAGTAATTATAAGCAACGTGAAACCAGAAGCTGAAACCCAACGCCTATCTGTTGTCCAGTGCTTGTGTTTGTAGCGTGTATCCACGGCTTACAGAAACGCACACACGTCGCGGTAGTAGGTAACGGGTTTGACAGATTTTCATTAACGATTCCGTGCCGTCCGTCAGGACCCCTCGGGCAGCCTGACTCTACTTCTGTCGTCGCCTGTGGAATAGGGTGCGTGAAACAAGAGCGCTTGATGAAAAGGTAGAGTGAGCACAGAGGGAGGAGGCACGAGAGGGGGTGAGGAGGAGGAGGAGAGGGGAGGGAGAGAGAGAAAAGCGTGGACTGGAGGGGGAGGGAGGAGGTCCAACAAAGAGGGACCGAGCGGCCATAGTTCACCTCCAGGAACCTCCACAAAGCCTGAGGTCATGCGCATAACGAGGGCCTCACACGGGACAACAAGAGCAGATGACAGTTCGCCACACCACCCCAGCACAGATCGCCACGGTGGCGAAATGTTAACTACCTCGCCCTGTCTACAGAAGGTCGTGGCTTCGATCACGACCCTAACGCCTGTTGTATATTTGGAGTTTGTATGTTCTCTCTCTTCCGCTTCCTCCGATTTTTCCCCCCACGTTTAGAATCGAAATTAGTTCATAGAGTATTTGGCTGCCTATACATTTCCACGTGATAAGCCACTTCTTTGAGCTTTCATTTGTGGTCAGGTTGCTTCTAAAAAAGAGCGATATCGTTCTGTGGGCCTTACCTGGTCAAATAAATGAGAATAGGAACAGATCGACCCAACAGCTACTTCTTCAACATTGGCAACATAACTACTGCTGCTCCACCAATAGGTTCAAATATGCGTATGAATTACACCCCCATCAAAACAAAACTGACACTACTAATTACAAATGTGTCTTTCTTGATTGTCAGCGCTCCGTTTTTTCCAAATGTATGACTTTAAACATTACTGATCAAAAGTATGAAAACGCTCAAATTTAATTTAAAGTATACATCTCTGCTGTGAATCACGTGCAGTGTTTTATTGCTATGTATTTTAATATAAATGCATCAGTGAAATATATTTTCGAGGTTGCATGCATTATTTAGAATACTCTTGAGGGTTTTTTTTTAATCCAAGCATAAAATGAATGATTGATGATGTATGAATGTTTGACAAGTGAAAATGATAAAAGTATATCTCAGAGGCTACTTTGTGCAATACAGTATCAGAATAAAAACTTTTTGGGGATTAAACAATGGCCTTAAGTGCCATCTACTGGCCTCTGGCCTCTTGTGCAGAAAATAATGACAGGTTCAGGCACGTGGGCAGTCCGCGAAGCTTGCGTCATATGGGTTATTATAACGTCGTCTTATTAATCTAATAGGTTTTGACACTTTAGTTATATTATTGATATTGTTCCTCCGTATAAGTACGTATAATGTCAAAACACAACTTATACATTCATGCATTCATTTTCATTTTCCTCTTTTTTATGTATGAATGAATCAATAATCCAATACATATAAGGTGCAAATGCGATGGACAATTTCCAGAAAAAAAAATAATTACCAACAACTGATGCTCCAAATATGACAATTTTTAAAACAGGTCAGTGAAAAAAAACAGTTCCACAATCGAAAATCACCTGTGACCACGAGGGTGTGTGTGGCACCGCACGCTATCAGCTGCACGGCTCCCAAATGCTCCGTGCTGAACTGGGGAAGCCACCCTTGGTGTGACTCCACGTTTGCTCCCTGACCATGTCCATGCTGTCCAAACTCGCCGCATCCCCACGCAAACAACCGCGGGCCATCCAGCCTCTTGCCAGACTTCGCAGAGCTCCCATCCTCAGAGGTCCACATCTTCATGCCGTTTATTACAGTGTCCCCCATTTTCATCATAAATCATACCCTGAAATACAGACATCTGATGGATTGGTTTTCTTGGTCAATATATATTTTAACACAGGGCCAAATTTGCGCCGTTAAGGCCCCCTACCAAGATATGTTGACTTTTTAAAAGCTATTAAAATAACTTTCTTTAAAAAAAAAAATTAGAAACTGCATCCCTTCAATTACGAAGCACCACGATGACGAGATGTTAACTACCTCACCTGGTATACAGGAGATCGTGGGTTCGATCCTCACCCTGACGCCCATATATTAGGAGTTAGCATTCTCTCTCCCCAATGGTAACGTGGATTTTTCTCTGGGTCCTCCGGCTTTCCCTCCACATTTAGAATCGACACGCTTTTAGAGTATTTAGCTGTTATAAATGTCCACGTGATAAGCCACTTCGTTGACCTATCACTTGTGTGTGGCCAGGTGACTTCTGAAAAAGAGCTGTATAGCTCAGTGGTCATCACCTGCTTAAATAAATAAAAAGTTCAGTTTAATTACTTGTCATGCTACTGTTTGTGGAAGGGCCTTGGCTTAGAGGACATTCAAGAGGCTCCCTCTTGAAGATAATTGGGCTGAACTTAAAAAAAAACAATCACTATGAATTTCACGTGTACATTTTCAGCAGTCGTAATATACATTAAAATTACTGCACATTACTTAATATGAAGAAATGTTCAAATGCCAAAATATTTGCCATCAAAAAGAGTCTGAAAATGTATCTATGATCGTACATTGATAACAAATCCTTTCCTTATTAATATTTTACATACGTCATGTTATAGTGTATGTGAAATTGTTGGCATCGCAACAATATGCATCTAGGATTATAAAGGGATACATGTTATTGCTTTAGATATTCTAACCACTACTAAGTAAAAATTGGGTTGATAATATCCATAGTATCTGTTCTGAACTCTAAAATCACGTTACACGTGTGGCCTTCTGCATTACAACTTCACTTTGAACAGTTACATATGACCTGGCGTCACACTCAGAGTATGTATTAAGCATGCTGTGTCTACATGTTCATACATTTCCGTGCACTGCACAAATATAACCACAAAACACATATTACAAGCCCACTCATGACAACATTCAAAACCGACGGCACTCCACACTGTACCTCATCGGATAATTTAACGGTGGGACATTTCAGTGCACAATCATGACTTACCGGAACACTCGAGGGTTATCTCGGATTGCTAATTGTTATAAGCATATTCAATAGCCTATCTCACTTGACAGGGCCCTCTAATCTCACGACGGCCGTGAGCATTTGTAACCTAAGCCACTGCTTGTTGTACCACCGAATACAGTGCGTGGACACAGGCTAAGCATAGTTTCAGGCACACAAGAACACATCCTAGCAACAGATTGCCGTGGCTTTTTTTCCTCTAAGTGCAAACTTTGGCTGCCTTCGTCGAGCCTTCAGGGACAATGAAGGCTTGTTTGTGTCCCTGTGTACACACACTGCTCTTTAGCCTCATACTCTTGGACGTTAAACACTGTCAGGAAAAAAAAAACAGCACGAAGATGTTGTCATTCTATAGTAGATAAAACAAGAACGCCTTTTTTTTAACACGAATGGAATAATAATCAAGTGGAGTTTTTAATTATCGACAGACGGAACAGTGGCCCGTGTGAACCTCTAGCTCATTGTAGGCAATGTGTAAGTGGACTGATCACAGCCAGGAAACAGTGTTTCTGAGATTCCTTGCAGGAAAACAGATATTTTATATTTCGATAACGCCTACTGTAACATGGGACATGACATGAAAACTGTGCAAGATCCTTTTACCTGTGATAATTATAATCTAGATATATGACCAGAGTAGAAAATTGTCTTGTGAAATCACTTCACTTTACAACATTGCACTGCGTTTTATTCAATGAGATTTTCCTAAATCATGTCCAATGTTCACCCACTGAAAATACAGTAAACATTTTTACACAAAACATTGAAATGCCCTAAGTGGCAATAATATTTATGTGGTATGATTACTTATTGCAACTCAAAACATATTGTGGATGATTGCTCCCAGAAAATGTTGCATTAGAAAATCCAGTTCGTGACTTTGCCATGGACTGAGGTTTTGTTTGTATGGGTGCGGCACCACCATGAGCTTAGAATCCATAAATGACTCAATACATATTAAAACAAAAACACCTTCCTTCAAAGCTGCTCACACACAGCTGGTCAAGGGGTTTTCTCGTGACTAATAATGCAACATTTTAAAGTTATACAACTTTCCACACTTGTAGAATGTGAACAAATTATTTAAGTGCAAAACAAATGTGAGAGGGAAAAAAGCATTCAAATGCCATGCAACGCATCAATACAAAAACATCTGCACCTGAACAGCATTCTCCATTCGCTCACACGTCTTGAAAGGCACTTCAAAAAGAGCCACTTCTCCACTCTTTTGTACAAGATGTCCAGAGAAATGAAACGCACCACTCTGTCATGGCATAATGCAATCAAGGGCGCTTCATGTAATGCGTATCAGACTACATTTAAAAGCTAAACGTGTGGAGAACATTAGTGCACTGTTTCTGCAACCTGGGTGTTGTTTATAACTCACCAAGATCAGCCGACTGCCCCACCGGTCCGAAGTTTCTGTCTTCTTTTTTGGTGTTTACCGAAATGTTATTCTGAAATTATGACTTCGGTTTATTTTATAGCCTACATCTATTAATATTACTCGTAGCAAAGAAAACAGTCCGTGGGAGGATGGTTTGCTGTTTTAAATCTTCAAAAGTGTTCTCCACGTTGCGTTGTTTGCTCAGGGCTGAGAAATGCGTGTTGGTAACGCAAGGCTTGGTGTTTTTATTGATCCAGGCAACTGCTTTTTATTGCGTGGAACTGCATAACAAAACACTTTTCCGCTTGCTTTTGCTGGCCACTTAAAAACCGAACACAGCTAAGTGACATTTCACGGTAAACCTTTACGATGTGTTTGTTCTATACCCTTATTTAAATGTACAATGGCTTTGCAGTTGCTCCTCATTTCACACTTTTTTTCTCTTTTAAATATTATTTGCCAAATTTGCAATGCGTATTGAGTGTTCTGTGGTTATGTAACTGAATTACATATTTAATAGGTATCTCCATTTCTAAAGTAAACATGAACAGCTCACGAAATTAACGAACTTGTGACAATAATTTGTCCGGGAGTTGCATACTCGAACATTTAAATCCAATGTAATAATTGAGATCACTTAAATTCGAAGAAAATTTACCAACACTCATCCTACTAAAGCAGTATGGCCACAAATGATAGCTCAACGAAGTGGCTTATCACGTGGAAATCTATAGCAGCCAAATGTGGAGAGAAAAACTGGGTGACCCGGAGAAAAATCCACGTGCAGACAAAGATGCAAACACCAAATATACAGCAGGCGTCAGAGTTTGGATCGAATCCACGACCTCCTGCATAACAAGTGAGGGAGTTAACATCTCGCCACCGCAGCGCTAAACTAAACCGTGGATGTCATGATTGTGTGTCATGTTGACATATAAAATACATTGACCTCGATGAACGCTCAAATAATACGAACAAATCTACCACATCTAACCACAAAGTTATTCATAAGTCAATATGCCTGAGCTAAAGCATTTTCTTTCCCAAGTCCGTTCACTTCGTATTGCAAACTAAGTTTGTAAGTTTAGTTGTACACAACGTACCAACAACAGCAGAGACTTGCGCAGTGCGGTTGCCATGAGATGAAATTCCTCTAGTTATGAACCACAAAACTATTTGTAAACCAACTTTTGATGAACTGCAAACTGTAGCAAACACAGGCTTGAGAAAATGTTGCTTCGCCATGCCAGACATAGATTCTCATCCATTCCACAATGAAAATGATGCGCCGATTCAATAATCAGAGTTATAAACAGTTGCTTTATTGTTACTTGAAGACAGCGGTGAGTACAATGAAGACTGACTACTACAGTACATTATAATGGCAGGTCAGCAGCTGAAGCTTAAGTGGTGTTACGAGAGCACAAACAACATTCTAAAAGAATGCTAAATTCACTCATAGATGTGTATTTCATGTTGAAGGAAATAAACATAACCTTGGCAAAATGACATTAAGTAAACATGTACAGTTTCCTTTAATTCATTATAAGTCTTTCGTCATGTAACGCGTATATTGTCCACCTCCCACCCAAAAAATTCATTCACTACTGTTTTCAGTCAAGCAAAAAGATGGTTATTTCAGCGTGTCACGTAGTACCTTATATAAATGTTGGATGATAACTGCATGGTAACAATGCTTCCAATGAACATTCTATGTTTGTATTATCAATTAAAATGTGGTCTTACCTTATTAATTTAAATATATACCATACATAGTGCCATATATTTTCACATATATTAATGTAAAAGCAACTTTGTTTAGTCGTACTGCTTCGGAAACTCATGCAGTTATTGCTGTTTAATGAGGCCAATTGGAATAAATATGGATACACTTTTACAGGACCTACGTAAATTTACTACAAAAATGTCCTGCTATTCGAATATATCACTTATCGCTGCACCAAAGAACAAAACAAAATTAACAATAAAATATTGTTACTAGCTTTAAAAAGGCATACTAATTTAAATGTGCCTAATTTGGAGGATAGTTCTGGGTAAAAAAAAATCTAATGCACATAATAATATCAAATGTAGAAACAACAAAACACCACCCCTTTCATTCCTGCATTTAAATTGCGCACAAACAACCAACACTGCATTGTTAATTACTTGTTATTAAATGATCTATGTTGTGTATGTCAAAAGCAAAACAACATCATTAACCAGCTGTTCTTTCCACAGACAAACAGGTTTTGTGGGTAAAAATCGTATCTTCTATCGATATACTTTGAAAAGAAAATATAAAATTACACTAATGAGTTATACTTACTTAGCTTTTGTTCTCAGTAAAGAGTGTCTCGAAACCGCAAGCTGCGTTACAAGTGGGTGTCTGCTATTGGAATCCGTTTCAGTTCCACGATTTGGGAGTTCGTTATGCTCCCGTCATCATGGCTGTCTCTGTAGGAGCCATCCTCACTCACACTCAGTCCAGCGCCTGAATAAACAAAAATGAAATGAACATCAAAATAAATTTATCAGAGGACATTGCAGCAAATTACAACGCTAGTTAATCAATTAAATGGGATAATCTCTTGAAAACATTAAATGATTTACACCGGGATGTGATAAACACCGGTTATAAATATTATGAATTCCCAATAAATTATTTAGATGATTCTTGGCATATTTTCAATAGCTCTTTGGAACATACCTTCAGTTATACATTGTAGAGAAAAATATCTTATCAAACATAATTGCTTAATCTATCATTCTAATACAAAATAAGTGTTAATGGTATGAATAGAATTATGTCTATTTTTTTCACAAAATTACATCTACGTAATAGTCTGATACATTTTATTTTAAACATGCAAATACTGTATCATAACAATAGCGTACAACATCCGTGCATTGTTGAATGTTCCACGTAAAATATAACCAACAAAAGTAAATAAATACAAAATAAACACACTACTAGAAAATATGTTTTATAATGAAGACATGTTATCATACAATTTTTCATCACGTTATATTATTGTCTATGTGCAATGAATGAGCATAAATCAGTCACAGGTGGCCGTATATTTACTCTTTGTAAAGCAAAATATGTTATGCTTATGCCCCGGGATTTCATTATCATTTCAGAAATAACCTCGATACACCAAACAGTTATGTATTCATGGTCATGTAAGGTCAACACAATACTCTTGATGTATGCATGGTGAGACCTGGGAGAGGTGAAAAGAGGCACATTGGGTGCTCATGTTACCGAGGGTCCCCATTGACTCCTGTTTACTATGACCAGGCAGAGACCGCCACGTCTCAGCTTCCATGGACCTTACAATAATTATGCAAATGCAAACAATTTACATATGCGCAATGCATATCTGTTACCATTTAATGGTTGCCAATGCGCTCAATTCAATTTCTCAGATTTCATTCTTTGAAGTCTTTTTTTCACATAAGAGAAAAGCGATTCATGTAATTGTAGTGTAACATTCACTACCAGCATTTTCCTGCATAAGTAAGTGGGGAGCTGCTGAGTGAACCCTTGTTTTACTGTCACTGCAAACGTCGCAGCCTTACACCTGCCGGTTAATTCATTCACCCCTGAAATGGCTCTCTCGGTAGACTCACCCGCTTTGAGTGCAAAAATTAGGTCATCAAAGTCCTGCGAGTCTTCGTCTGGAAGCAGTCCGTTGTTGACGTACGCGTACGTGGGGTCGTAGCGGAGGCCCCTTTGAGGGCTCTCCT